ATCAAGTTATTAGGACTGACAGTTCTGAAAAAATGCAGTTTGTTTAGTTGACTGCTACATTCACAGAATTTTTAAGATTTTTCCCTCTAAACTGATTCTTGATGCGCTCTCTNTCTCTGCAATGTTTATTGCAATAACTTTATTCATACAGTTGAAGGAATGGTACACTGCCGAAATTTCAAATCGACCGCCAGTTTGACGTCAATAGTTGTAGTCCTTCTTATCAACTTTGGCCTTTGGCGAAATAATATCACGTAAACTTTTGTCCTCTCTTTGTGCATCAAATCATCGTGCCTTTGTGTAAGCTCCAAACCCTGCGTGACTCTTGTTACTGACATCGATTATACATTATGGGTGATTATCCTGAGTATGCACTTGTCCGGTACTTTATCATCTCCTTACGCCCATGTGAACAATTTATGACATCAAACTCCGGATGAGGCACATGACATGTTTCGTAGAATTGTATGGGGAAGAGCTGTCAACTTTATCACACGCCACTGACTTCAGTGATAGGAGGAAGGGCCTGGAAACGCTTTCACTCCAAACAGCTCAAAACGCGATCAAGTTTATGAATGATACAACTCTCGGAAGCAATATGTCAAAATGGCAAGCGGCAACTACGTTTTTGACACTTTGGGCTAACCAAAAAAGAAAAACATCCGAAAAAGAACATTAGATTTATCACAGAACTGTAGTCATACATGAGTCAATGATACTGATTGTGTGATGAAATCAGAAGGAAAACGTCTGTCGTTCTGAGTTGGGATGCAGAAAATCACCAGACAATATATAATGGACTATTGTTTTTAAACCAAATTTGCAAGACAAACAAACAACTTCGAATGCATTCTTACGGAGCAGTAAACAGGAGGAATGTGGGAAAGAACAAAATGGTGAGTTTTGAGCTCGTTTGTGTGTCTCCTGGGACGACGCTGAAGTAGGTTTCAAGTAAATGGTCTCTGAATAATTCAGCGCCTGAAAGGTCGGAGCAGGGAGAGAAAAAAACGGGCGATCACTGGCCTTCTGACAGACCAGGGTTAACAGCAATGAACTGTTAATTCGTGTGTCAATNATTCTTGATGCGCTCTCTGCAATGTTTATTGTAATAACTTTATTGATACAGTTGAAGGAATGGTACACTGCCGAAATTTCAAATCGACCGCCAGTTTGACGTCAATAGTTGTAGTCCTTCTTATCAACTTTGGCCTTTGGCGAAATAATATCACGTAAACTTTTGTCCTCTCTTTGTGCATCAAATCATCGTGCCTTTGTGTAAGCTCCAAACCCTGCGTGACTCGTTACTGACATCGATTATACATTATGGGTGATTATCCTGAGTATGCACTTGTCCGGTACTTTATCATCTCCTTACGCCCATGTGAACAATTTATGACATCAAACTCCGGATGAGGCACATGACATGTTTCGTAGAATTGTATGGGGAAGAGCTGTCAACTTTATCACACGCCACTGACTTCAGTGATAGGAGGAAGGGCCTGGAAACGCTTTCACTCCAAACAGCTCGAAACGCGATCAAGTTTATGAATGATACAACTCTCGGAAGCAATATGTCAAAATGGCAAGCGGCAACTACGTTTTTGACACTTTGGGCTAACCAAAAAAGAAAAACATCCGAAAAAGAACATTAGATTTATCACAGAACTGTAGTCATACATGAGTCAATGATACTGATTGTGTGATGAAATCAGAAGGAAAACGTCTGTCGTTCTGAGTTGGGATGCAGAAAATCACCAGACAATATATAATGGACTATTGTTTTTAAACCAAATTTGCAAGACAAACAAACAACTTCGAATGCATTCTTACGGAGCAGTAAACAGGAGGAATGTGGGAAAGAACAAAATGGTGAGTTTTGAGCTCGTTTATGTGCCTCCTGGGACGACGCTGAATTAGATTTCAAGTAAATGGTCCCTGAATAATTCAGCGCCTGAAAGGTCGGAGCAGGGACAGAAAAAAGCGGGCGATCACTGGCCTTCTGACGGACCAGGGTTAACAGCAATAAATTGTTAATTCGTGTGTCAATAACCGACAGGCTTATGTACTGTGTCGTAGAAAAAAACATATTATTCCTGACATCGATTGTTTGGTTGCATTGAGCATTGCCGATTGAACTACACCGCTTTATCGGGCGTTTCGTTCTCACTTAGAAACTCAGCCAGCTAGTTATCCTACGCGAAGCATAAAACAATGATTATTCATTTGTGTTGCCGCCTTGATTTAACTGAGTATGATACGTTTTTTACATCTCTATCTGTCATTATCATCACTGTATTTTCACGGTGCGAAGCATTTGATTTGTAGGCACAAGCTTTGTCATTTGGGTGCTTCGCCAAATGCAAGTGAACATAGAAGATTACACACATCGGACAAAAAAAACCATGTGGACTTAAAAGGATTTGAGTGAATTGACGTAGGACACAGTTCCTTCGCCCTCTCTTTTCGCATCTACACAGCGCCAGACACGTAACAACATCTACATTCATAACGAATTGGGATAATATGCATTGGGAAGAAATTGTCTGCAACTTATCCGCGTCACACATGAGAAGAGCAATGAATAAATTTCCAAACCGCTTCCCAGTCTGTTACGTATTCTGTAATCAAATGTAACGTTCTGAAGATAAAGGCAGTCCGCAGATATATTGGGAGCTGTTGTCATGCGATTACCGTATGGTACTAAACGAACGCACATGACAGGTAGCGGTCAAGTAGGGTCAGACATACTGGCTGGTTTAATTGCAGAATACTACATTGGTTGAACAGGCATAGGCTGTCTGCTTGCCATAACCGATAAGTAAGCAAACGCATCCAACCGTAAACGTTTGAGTCGTAACAAATGAGCCTGTGCTCACAATGGGCTTTCCAAAGTTGTAAACCCAGAGTGGTAAATCGGTTACTTTCATTTCTGCTCCCCAAAGACCACAAGGCGTAAAACAAGAATTACGCCTAGCTGCATCACATTTTGCCATTGTGAATAAACAAAACGTCCTACAGACGGGGAAAACAAAGTGGCCATCTTGGGAACTTTCACTTAACGCATGAATTAGGAACCGTGTCACTGCAATATTACGATTTTGAGGAGTGTAACCTTTACTTTAGGGGGCGAGGGTGAACTCTAGAAATAACATATCGTTATTTGAGGGAGTTATGGTGTGTTGGTGGCTATATGATCTATCAATTTATTATCACCTAACAATCGCAAGTTTGTTGATCACATTTTAAATTCATTTAGCACAGAACCAGGACCTACAGACAACCTTTTTGCCAATAAATGATTACGTCTAACCATTGATAACTTTATTGGCCTTCTGTAAAGTTAAATTGTTTCCGTTTTGGAAATATGTTCTACTTGTGAGCACTTCCCTCGAATTTGATGGCACCCTTGATAAAACGTCTCAAAATGATTGCTGTGTGAAACGCGCGCACATATTTTTTGGTGGATGTCCAGGTGTTACTAGCAAAGAAAGTGCGACACATTCATCTTGATCTGCATCAGGGGATGCACTAGTCCTTCAGTGTCCAAAGAAACCTTGTGTTCTCAACCTCCTTTGATGGCTCAACAAGACTTTACATCGACCTAAGATGTAATTATCTGGCGTACTGCATTAATCATGCTAAACTAGCAATTAGGCGTGCACCAAGAATTTGCTCCCAATCACTTGTGTGTTCATTCTCCCAAAAAGACGACCAAATCAAGGATTTTGGAGACATACTAACCAATTTCATCGTCCACATCGGAAGCGATGGTTAAATAGTGTATGGGGCACCAAAAGGAGCAACTTGATGGACCGCAGCGAAAGAAAGATTTTGTACTTGGAAAACATCAAGTTAGAAGACAAATTGTTTTTTCTGATTATAACTCTTCATGTGATCAGAGACTAAATTCACGTGCTTGCATCAACACGCCTTGTATTTGTGTTTTATCGCTTTTGATTCAGTCGCCAGTATGTCCTACCGATGTTCCATCTTTACTTATATAAAGAAACTTGATTTTATGGTTGTTAACACTGGAAATGCTCGACTACTATGCAATCTGTTCGCGTCTAAGTGGCTTTTTTGCCGCCTCCCCTCGAAGTAAAAGAGACCGATCAGTGTGACAAACTATAATCGTAAAGGCACAATTTTGAAGTTTTCGTTCGTTGACTCAAACTACTGAAAACTGGGTAATAAGTAGATTTTATCTGCTCGAACTGTTGAGTGTTACAGAAAATATTTCTAAATGAACAACGATCACATATTCATATGAGTTTGGTCATCATTGCCCATAATGCTGCTTGGGTTCGAATTGCATTTCGTTTTTTTTTGTTTTTTTCACTTGGAGCAGTGCAATACATACATTCTTAATTGTTTTTTGTTTTGTTCTGCAGCGGCGTACCGACAAAAGTGAATTCATCCAGGCATGGATTTCTGCCGATTTCCACTTTGATTCAGGTCTTTAAAACCCCCCTGGGCCAATTTTGAAGTAAGTCATCAAAGAACAGTAATTCCACTGTAAACAAAACGTGTTACACGTGACGCTGGCAGTTTTAATCACCAGTGTAGTGTCCAAGGTATTAGGTCGTAAGATATTCAGGCCAAACCAAAAATCGATATAAGGTCCCACCTTACAAGTTATTAACATATGATTGCTACTGAAACGTGTTCAGCTCAGTTTCAGCTGTCAGGAAAATTGGCGTGGTCTAATCATCAGTCAAACTGCTGTTGCACCCCAGATTATTGATTTATCCAAAGTATATTAGAGTTGTCTGTACAGTCGCCTAATTTGTGATTCTTCCACAAAAATGCACAACTTTCTCATATATAAATGTGTGAATTCTAGACAAATTAACATGAGTTTGTTATTCATAGTAAACCGATTGTCAAAGATCCTTGGCATTCTTTGTCGAAACTTTGCTCTAAACTGATTTGGATTTTTCACACACTCGACTTCTTGACATGTGGTCCATATTCTATCCAAATTGCTTTCACTTTCAGCAATGAATTCTCCAGCCGAACCACCAAGTGATGACGAGTTTCGGTTTAATCTCTCCAACGAAGATCTGAACCGTAAAGATTCAGGCAATATGAGGTGAGTCAAGCAAAAGCCTCGCCTTTTAAAAACAAGACTTTCTCGTGTTACTTGTTTTATTCAATAGAACCCTCCTATTTTTTGGTTAAAAATGAAAATATTTGACGTATTTCTGCCAAATTTTATAATTTTATTAGCGCGGTACTTCAAAAAGTGTAAATGAGTAAAATTCCCACGGGAACGCAATGCATATTATCAACCGAAATTGACAAAAAAATGGAATACAGTATTTAATCCACTGTTTAAAACACGTTTGCAATACTAAAACAATAAAAAATGAGTTTGACACGCTTGCCAGGTCGTCGAAAATAACGTGTCCACTGAGAATTTTAATTTTACGTTTACTGTGCAAGGGAGAGGTGCCACTGAAAACAAAAACAAATATCAGAACGACTGCAACCTTTTTTATTTATTTTATTTTTTCGATTTTTATTTATTTTTCACCTTTTCGGGAAAAATAAATTAATATCGCGGATTTGGCCATAGAATATATGTGCTATTGCAAACAAAATCCATCCACAAGACGTTTCAACAATGAATTACTGTCTGTAGGTTTAATTGTTTAAGTTGATTGAATTTGTAGAAATTTAGATGTCCAATCAGAAAAACTACACTGAGACTGTCGGTAAGGGGTGCTATTATTTGTGGTCCCAAATACGTATCGAAGCTCAGTTTCCGTGAGACCATCAACGTGTTTCCAAAATCAGCTGTTTTCAACTTGCTATTCAAAGAAAAAATTGGCGACGGGTCAACAGTTTGACTGTGACCAACTTTCAGAAGCCAGGCACATCACAGAAGAGCGATCGGACTACAATGTTTCTTTATACTGCTCTATTTATTTACATCACATGATTGATGACCAAGTTACTAACCTTCCATCGCATTTTCTGTTTTTTCTTTCACTATTCTCTAAGCCGTCAGCTACGCAGCCCTGCAAATGATGGTTCAACCCCTCCAGAGCTAGCAGACTCAGAGGAAGCGATAACTCGGAAAAAGCCCTCGGCATGGCGACTACACTGCTACGGAGACCTTTCAAAGGATCGTGTCCGTCGCAAACTGCACCATACCAAGTCCAAAGTAGAAGCACATGTGTGCTATCCGTGGCTGCGTCGACTTGTCTTTCATCTGTCGCATTATTTTCCGAATTTACACACATCCGCTACATCCACTAACCGGCGACGTTCCCGAGAACGCTCACCAAGTGGTCAGAGGCACTCACAAAGTAGTCGAAACAGGTCTGTTTATAACATATCTGAACGGGAAGAGAGGACAGACAGTCAGAAGACGATAGAAACTCCCTTGCTGCATAACACACAGGACATGTTTCGAAAAACCACGTTATTGGACAGCACAGATTTGTCTCAGCGCAAGGCTATCAAGTCCTCGAACGATGAAGTTCACAACCGTTACAATGCAAACCGTAAACGAAGACCCCTACAACGTCAAAAGTCAAGTGGGCTTCATGACTTTGACCAGTTGTTTGCAAAAAATGATCATCTGGAGGAGCTACACCACCACAAAAGGTTAGAAAATCATTTTTTTGAAAACTAAATGCTGATTTTAAAAGTGCACAAAGAGTAAATTATTTATAATCTGGCCCTCGTTCCCATACCAGATCATAGTTATTGTTTTGTCCACACCAAATCAAAAGCAGAATTTTGGGTCGGAACCGTGCTGCTTACTTTACCGAAAATCTTTAGCAATTCTTTTGAACACTGCATTCATGAAGAGTCATTTCTGAGCTTTTAAAACAATGAATTCCAGAAAGGTAAGTTTTTTGGCATAAGGGAACCCGGCAGATTTTCCAGTATAGAAATCTCTCTGTCTGGCAGCACAACGAAGTGGAATTTCTTCAAGAATGTGAATTATCTACTGACCCCTCCTTTTCCCGTGACATAGCAGGCTTTCTGAAACTGTCCAGTGTTAAACCTCCTGAACTGACCGGTAAGATATCACCAGTTTTACGCTAACGATCGCCAAATCTTGTGAACAAGCAGCTTGTGTTAGCGAAATCCACTAATTTGCATACCAATTTACTTTTGACGAGCAGACTCAACTGAAACGAAGCTGGATTTCCTTTTTATGGTTTTCTTAAGCAGCTAAGTATGCTGCCTCACGTTTTAGTTTGCACAATATTTAAGATATTGCGATACGTTGTATAGACGTAATATACTACTCATAAGGTTGCCGAAAACTAGCCACAAGGTCGCAACCAGATTCACCCATCTTAAGGCTCATCAAGTAGCCGCGGTGTTCGAGTTTTCGTCAACCTAAATTGCATGAAATTAGTGAAATACACACACTTACAAACCAATTTGGTCCCGACGGCAGAGTCAACTAAAATCCAGCTAAATCTTTCGTTGATGAGGTTTTTGAGGAATATTTTGAGGAGAATAGTGTCACTGATTACCGACAAAATAGATGTACCATCCCATGCTAAGGTCGTGATCTCAGAGGAAGGAATCGGTTAATTAGCCTAAACGCACGATCTAGGTGTCCTATCTGACAGGTAACGTGTAGTCTAATCCACCGACGGACGATCTGTAATAATTGCGGCGAAAATGAATTCCAAGAACTTCACCTGCGTTTGTTCAATAGTTGCAATTATGTAGTGAACAATATATTGACGTGGGCAGACAGCATAGATAGGTAGACCGTGGTTATATAGGAAATTAACAGCAAATCGCGAGGAAAATTAAAGAAAGGCTCACAGCTAGATTGAATCTTGGGCAGTTAGCAACACAGGATGTCACAAGAAGGGCAAATTAAGCGGGAAAAATCTTGTTTAGTTCAAAGTGGGACAAATTTTCAACAGCAAGCCCAGGAATGAATGTAAACAAATCGTCTATAGAAAAACGGTTGAGGCAGAGTCGACTTTGTACAAAATAGGACAGTTCAGTCTTCAGCAGTCACCGGAAGCGTGATGAATCAAGCTGAGGAAAAGGGAAACAAATAATTACCTCACGTAATTACCAATAGAATACAAATTTTCTTGTACTAGCAGAACAGCCGCGTTCTCCCGACAGTGGTCCGTGTTGAACATAGAGCTCATTCCATATGTCTGTAAAGCTTTGCGTATCTTGGAAGTCAACCAACATTAAAGTAGAAAACTTGTGGTTACCATGTTTAACGCATATGCCCCCTTTTTCTAACCTCACCATTACGAGGAGCACAACCACCAAACTTCCCATGCCCACCGACCAGGCTCTAGGTGCCCTCGGAAACCTTACTCTGACACTATTGTACGCTTCCTGTCTTCCAATTTGTGAAAGGATGCACACTTTTCAAAACTGCATTCCCGACCTAGTGGTAATGCTGTGTGGTATGTTGAATCTTTTCAACGTAATACGTGAGGTAAAAGGCTGGCCGACTAGTTGAGTACACTCACAACACATTTCTTTCCACTAAATTCCTGGCTTGTTGTTTGAACTCCTCTTCATGACGAGTTTGCTAACCGTTTTCCCCAATACTGCAAAATACAGGTAGTAAAGTCAACTACATCAGAAGACGCTTTATGAAAACAGTTCAAAGAGAGGTACATGGTAAGATAGTCTCTCTCGGTGCAAATATAAACTGTGGGAAGGACCTACTGGTCACAAGGTAACCACATAGTTTAACCTATCGGCCAGGCAACTGCCCAGTTCTTACGTGTGCATTCTGTGTGCGGAACTTAGTAAATTTTTACCACGACAGCTCACCTATTTGTAATGAACTGATTCATCAGTGATGTCGCAGATAAAAGACATCGATTTTGAACAAAATTATTCTACAGTAATCCCTTATGTAGTTGGAAACGTTAAGAGATCGATGATCTGCATGAAACCCGCTGTGATCAGCCACCTAGAGTTTAGTGAATAGAAACCTGCAACCAAAAAGTTGCTCGGTGAGTATAAAGCGTGTGTCACGCTACCTGATTGGGGGGTCAAATCAATCGCCACAACCAGGATAGTTACTAGGTGATCGTTCGATGAGTCGAGCACACCAATCACATCGCCCAAGTGTGAACACGTTCGCCTGTTCAGACGTGAAAATTAAGCTATGTCCAACGTGCGTTGGTGGAGTAGTGTTTACACGCTCGCCTCGCATGTCAGATGTCCGGGGTTCGAATCCCGGCAAGGCCGTTGGTTATGCACTGCTGATCAGATCTAATAAGAGCGAAACTCGAGTCCAGTGCTTCTCCCCTTTGGTGTGGACTCACAGGAATAATAGCGCCAGAATGGGAGGACGACCATTCAAGCACGAGCGGTGTGGCTATGAACACAATCGAAAATAGTAGCAAGTGAATGGCTACACCCAGCATACGTTTATCTTTCGGAATAGATGTACACAAATGCCGAGAACAGGGAGGACAGTCGATAGGGAAGTTTCACCCTAAAGTACAGGTATCATGCTCATTTTAAATACCAACAGGATCCATCGTGTTAAAAATTAGAAAACGCCAAATTTGCTGCACAGTGTCTTTGAGGACACCTTATGCATTCAGATATCTTAACCCGTTCGCAAGTTGTGAAGGTAGTGCGTGAACATGTTGGAGGTTGCGGAAAACCGTCGTCGCCCTTGACCGAACGATTAAGTGTTCAAACTACTAGCCAGGATTTCGCGGGTTCGAGACTCTTCGGAGTTTCGTGAGACGCGCACTGCTGATGATTCCCAATAAGGATGAAACAGCTGCACAGTGCTTCTCGACTTTTCAGCATAGACTGGCTTCACTTACGGGACGAAATCTCCTAAAAAAAGCCGTGAAAATTTCATCCACTGTGATCAACGTCCGCAAACGTTACACAGGTTAAGACTCGTTAAGAGAGTTTTGTACGTAGGTAGGTTTTTGTCAGATTGCAATGAAGTTTCAGAACTCTGTCTTTTATACACTCCACATACAGAGATTGCTTTTGAGTGAGTTATGCCTTCAATAAATGCCTCTAAAACTGACTGATCTATGGCCTACCGAGTTAAGTTACGTAATAGCACATTTTCGGGGCGTGAAAAATTGGAGCCGTGCATGCACGATGACACGGTAATGAGTACCACGCGGACTATGCTCAAAGTTAACAAAGCAAAAAGCGGTGGTCATCCTGCTCGCAGCTGTTGAAGCGCTCGTTGAAGTTGGTATGTCGGTTTCTCGGTCCTCCATCCAGCTATTTTATTGGGTTTCTCAGGCTTTGGGTCTTTAACATCCAAAGTATCTGTCCAGAAAAACACTCATTTGCAAATCAATTTGGTTTTCACTGGAGACTCGGTTGAATCCCTCATTTATGATGTCCTCCAGCTGAATGTGTTGCACACAGGCCGCCAGTTGGCATGATATTCGAGATATCGCAGTATATTTTCATAAAGAAAACTACTCACAAGGTCGAAGCGTTTTCAGCAAACTTATGAGTAGTTTTATTTATCTTTCGAGAACTACTAAACGATTTTGGCAAAAAAAATGGTACCAAGACGAACGAAACAACCAAAAACTTGATGAAAAAGATTAATAATCCACAAATTGTCCAACATGAGGCTTCCAGGAAGATTTATTGAGAACTCAGAAATGGTGATTTAATCTAATGGAAAATAATAAAGTGCCCTTTATTTCCGTTAGGTTGTGAAAAACTTCTCACGGCCCATTACCACTTTTTCCAGAGCTCATCAAGTTAATGCAGTCCACGGTTTCTTTATTGGTCTCATGCACTTCTTTGATACCTGATTTGCGCAACTGAATGAATACGGTCACATGCGTTAACCGGAGTCCTAACTGAATCCCATCTGAATATCCTGTGTACTGTACTCTCTCTATACTACTTATGCACCACATATTGTTAAAACCCCCGTTGTGTAGCCAATCTTCCGAATAATTCATTCTTCACTGGCTTACACAAATACAGACGGTATACTAACCCGATAATCTGAAATCTTTGTGTTAATGCGGAGATGGGAGTTCTGCAGGACGCAGATATTCACGAATTGAGTCTTCTATCCAGCCTCGGCTCTGAGGACAGTGTACTGTCAACGCAGTGAACAGTTTCACGGCACATCATCTCACAGGATTGATAGAAGATACCTATTCAATGAAAAATATTCACCGGAATATGGTTTGTCCCTCTTATCAAACAAACCTGGCTTTAATTCTTGTATTAGCACACTTTTACCTATATCAAGTGGCGTGATAATGTATTACTTTAGACCCTCAGGGTTCCAACTGGGCTTGGTTTCTATAAACAGAAGGCTCTGATTTAAAGCTTCGAAAAAATATCCATGCTTTGGTTATTGTGCCTTGTCCGTTTCACTGGGAAGCAATCTTTTAAGTTGGACATACACTTTGAGACGTATTAGGTATACATCATATTGCAACCAGTTTTAACCACCATCAATGCGTCACCGAGATCTCTGGCTCACGATGTAGACCCCGCTCCAGGGAGAAGTCCACACGTTGTAACGGTGATACCACTGATGGTCAGGCATGCGAGTAGTATGGTTACTTCTGGTAAATTCGCTTTGCGTCTGTCGAAAAGGGAGATCTATTGCGGAAGTTGTGGAGTTGTT